CCAGTGACTTCTGAGTTGTTTTTCTCGTGTATGAAATGTGAAACGTAGTAGTACTCCCTAGGACTCATGAAGATTTAATAATAATAATAATAATAAATGATTATCACTAGTGTATATTGAGTTCTGTCAATGTGTTCCACCTAATCCTCTAACACAGGCCCTCTAACTCCAAAAGCAAAGATGTCTTACGGAATCAAACGAGGTTCATAAATCTTAGCCGTTGTCATCACCACCACCACCATCTTTTTTTTTTTTTTTTTTTTGAGAGGTTTTGCTATAGGGTGCGTGCGCTCGCCAGAAAGACAGAGACAGAGAGACAGAAAGCGAGAAATCACCCCCCAGGGGGGATGGCCACACTACAATCCCTTCTCCTCCATTCTTTTCTTGGAATCTTGGGCACATATGCACATGCGCCTGGTGTGAGTTTAAGCCACCGGGTTCAGGATGCAAACCAGGGTCGACTACATGGGAGTTCAGCGACATGGCCATTACGCTAACTGCTAGTCCCTATTTATCACTTTTGAAAGGGACAAAGCTTTTTTTATTAGCCACGTTACATCTGGGAGTCTCAGTTTCATCATCTGTAAGATGGAGTGATCTATGAAATGAGCGTACTAAAACGGCGCTCTGATGGCGGGTGCTGCGTCACCAACACCCTAGAGGACCTTAATAAGCAGGGGCTATTTGGGATGTCTTCAGTGACAGGGGCGGAAGCTCCTCCTTCTTGTGTGGTATTGAGATCCCAGATAAAGTAATTTCCAAATTTTCAATTTTTCCATAAGAAAAAATTTCCGACTGTTCTCCAAGCCATCCACTTGAACAGTGAAGCCCCCACGATCTCTTTCTGATGGATCAAGACTTCTCTGTTGGCAGCTGTGATTCTTAATGCAAAGAAAGAAGCTCCTTTAGGGGGATGATACATATATATTTTTTTTAAGGCTGGCACCATTGTTTTAACAAATTCTTCATTTTTATTTGGCTTGCCAAATGAGTATACACTGTAGACAATTTAGAAAATACAAAACTCACTACCCAGCTGTGATTGTTAACATTTGGTTATATTTTCATTTTTTGATACTTTTTTTTTTTTTTTACAGTCATTTAGAATGATTGACACTGTTGACTTCATACTATGGTATAGTTTTCTCGTCTGCTTTTCACTTAACAGTCAGCTCTAAGCATGGTCTGTGTTGTACAAAGTCTCTGCTTCTCTCTCTCTCTTTTGCCATGGGGATGTGTATTTGCCGGAGAGAAAGAAAGGAAAAGTGAGAAGTCATCTTCCAGGGGAATGGCCACACCACAATCCCTTTTCCTTCATTCTCTTCCTGGGATTCTGGGCACACACACACATGTGCCCGGGGTGATTTTGAAGCTGCCAGATCTGGGACTTGAACTACGATTGGCTACGTGGGAGTCTAGCACCTTAAGCACGACGTCACCTGCTAGCCCCTCTCTCACTTTAAATGGTCCATAGAGTGGCTCCCTATTGCTTCTCTAACCCTTCCTGGCCCCTCTCTCTTCTATCACGTTCCAACCGCACTGGTTTCTTGGTATTTCTCCAGTACACCATGCCTCGGGGTGTCTGCCTCAAGGCCTTCGCTCTGCTCTTCCTTTGACCTCTGAAGCACCTTCTAGGTTCTTGACGTGGCCAGCTCCTTCTCATCTTCCATAGCTCACTTCAAATATCACGTCTTCGGACAGAGCCCCCTTTGGCCTCCATAGACATTCACCTATACTCCCAGTCTATCTCATCACCTTCTTTTAGTTTTTTCTTATGGGATATGTGGGGATGGGGCTTTATAATTTTATCACCTGAAATGATCTTACCTAGACTGTTGGTTGTCTCACTTCTTCCATAGAGGTGAGCTCCACGAAAACAGGCCCCTTGTCGTCTGTCTTGCTTGTTGGTTTCCCAGTGGCTAACACAGCGCCTGCCACATAGTAGGCACTCAATAAACACTTACTGAATCAACAGATGGTGGGTTAGGTGGCTGGTGGGCGTCTGGGTGACTAGTTGCTAATGAGTCAGTAGGTGGGTGGGAGGAGATAGTGGGGGGGTGAGTGGATACGTAAATGGATATATGGCTGGATAAATCAAACTTTTATTAACCATTCGCCAATTCTGCATTGAGGGTGCTTCTCTATGATATTTAGAATTGCTTTGAAGAAAGAAACAATGCAAATGGCAAGGAAGTAGGATGAACATCTCCGAGAGGTTGGGAAGGCACCGAGATTCTCCCAGGTACTGCTGGGCACCTCTCATCCCATGCCTAGGATCTTACCGCCATACCTCCTCCTGTTCCTTGCACAGTGGGCCGGAAGCAGTTCATGCGATTCGAGTGGGCTAACCATGCAGCCGAGGCCCTGGGCTGCGAGTACGAGGAGCTAAACACGGCCACCTTCAAGCACCACCTACGGCAGATCATCGAGCAAGTGACGTGCGGGCCAGGCCGACGGGGCCTTGAGGACGAGGAGGCCAGCTCAGGTACAGCACTGCTGCTCTCTGGGCAGTCTGGGTCCCCTCTGCAGCCCCTGGGGATGTGCCAACATTTCTTTCACTCAGTCACTAAGAACTTACTGAGGGCCTACTATACACAGGCCTGTGCTAGGTGCAGGGGAAGCTGTTCTGGACAGCAATGGGCAGAGACTATCTGCCCGGTGCTTGTGTTTAAACAGATCACTCTGTCCAGTGCCCCTGAAGGCTGCTGAAACCTGGAAAGGGACCTCATTCTGTGGAGAGGGAATACCCTGGGTAGGACCAAGTGTCTAAGTAGTGCATTTCCATAGGGTTTCACATTTGTTGAGCCCCTGCTGTGTAGTGGAGGAGTGGCCTTTCCAGCTGAGCAGAAACAGCTGATATGGGTAGAGCTGGCTGGGAGGTGGGAGCCTGAGGTGGACCTCAAATCCCAGGAGGGCTGGTACTGTTCTCAGACCCATGAACGGTTTCAGAGAGGCTCAGGCAGGGAAGGAGCACACTGTGACCGATTCTTTGAGAAGCTCAGCCTCGATGAAAGTTGGGAAATGAATAGGAGAAGGGGAGGCTCTTGCAAACTTATAGAAGTCATTAGATGAGAGGTGATGGTGGTTGGACCTGGGAGGTGGTGGAGGACATGGGGTGAGGGGGACAGATTCGGGTCTAGTTTACAGTTGAGGTGACAGCGCAGGTCCCAGGGGGAATAGGACCTAGGATTGCTTTGAGGATTCTGGCTGGAGAAGTTGGAGATGTTGAGTGTGTGGCACCTGCCCTGGGGGAGGAGCTGCAGGACTTTGTGCTACACCTGCCCTGGGGGAGTAGCCGGAGGAGCAGAGTGGGTGTGGTGCACCTGCCCTGGGGAGGAGCAGGACTTTGTGCTGTACCTGCAGGGGCAGGGTCTGCCGAGTCCCAGAGGATGAGACCTGCCCTGGGGGAGTAGCCGGAGGAGCAGAGTGGGTGTGGTGCACCTGCCCTGGGGAGGAGCAGGAGGCGTGGGTGCTAAGGACCCTGGGGGAGGAGCAGGACTTTGAGGATGAGGGTAAAGGGACCTCTCGGAACTTCAGAACTTCCCAAGACTCCCAGGCTAAAGAGAATGAGGGTAAAGGGACTCCTTGGAGCCCCAGGGGTCCCTGGGATCGCTGAGTAGCTCTCCTTGAGACAGCAGAGTTTGGGGTCTGTGACTAGGACTTTTCTTAGCTGGCTGTGGTTTTGGGGCCTATCCCTTGGAGCCCCCTTGAATCCATGGAATTACCTCCACCTTCCAGAGACTTCGGCTTGATAGCCAATGCCACATGGACTCCATGGACCTGTGTTTCCCTGTAGGTCTGTGCTCTGGTGTGAGCTGTGGTGTGTTGAAAGGTCACTTCCCCTCTATGACACACACACATACACACTACACATGGGCACACACTATACACATGCACAGATATACAGAACACTGTATGTCCGTGTGTACAAACACATGCACTCAGCACACACGTGTAAAGGCACACAGCACACATGTGCATATGCGCACACCACAGCATTCACACATGTACTGTGTATGCACATACCATGATGTTCACAGACACATACCACACACTCACACGTAAATGAGCACACACACGCTACACACAAGCACACACAGACACACTGCACACATGCTCAGATACACACTACACACATGCACACCAGGTACACACAGGTACATGCATCTAGCACTCACGTGCACAGAGAAATATGTACACCACACAGCGGTACAGATGCACACAGAAGTGCACACACACCACACCACTTTGTGAGTCGGAGTCAACCTCTCAGGCCCAAGTCTCAAGGTTAGACATTAAGCAGGCAGTGGACCAGCAGGCTTAGGAGAGATGCTGGGAGGCTGGGGGTTGCTTAGCAACGGCCTCGGTTGGGGGGCGGAGTTAAAGGAGGGATGGGAAATGCTTTGGGGGCTGCAGAAGGCTGCTTAGAATCCACAAGCAGAGCTGTTTCTTCAGGCACCAGGGGTGTGCGAAACTGTGCTTCTCATTCCTGTGGATGGAACCAAAACTGAAGGGTCAGGGCTGACCCTTCATCCTCCTCACCCCCCTTTATTCAGCGCACACTGATCCAGCCAACTGTTTCAGTGGGGCGCACTTGCGTGTGTGCATGTGCTTAAACTGAATTGACACCATAACTGCC